CCGGGCCATGTTCTCTCAAAGATGGATCACAATCCTAGGCGAGGGTTGTTATACAGTTTTCCACAGAATGACAGTTTGCCGTAGAATGTTCGGCATCGGTTTAGCAAAGCAGCAACGCAGTGAGTGGTTCTCGGCCCAGGTCGCTTTCGGCCCCAGGAACGTTCGGCAGCGTCCGCAGATATTTTCAATGGTCCCAGCCGGGTATGGGGAGGATGCTTCCAGGAGGCATCCGGTGGGCAGGGGTTAGCGATGTTCATAAACATCCAATGATGTACAGGATGGCCCGTCACCACAAAGAATTAGTTATCTGGCCCCAGATATCAACTGCGTTAGGGTTCAAAGACCCTGTGGTGGTATATTTCAATGGTGCTTTTGCATTAACAAAACAAAACAAAACAAAACACCCCCTGAAAAGTGAGGCGTATATATAGAAAAGTAAGGCAAATATTCCTGTGAGAAGTTTATTTAAATTTAAAGGATTTCATCTAACTCGTATCCAGGACACCTCCTTTTAAGATTATTTTAGAATACATAATCTGTTATTGTTTATCATCACTCAGCAAGGGACCGTCCTGTGGGTTTAGTATCACGTGAAGATTTCACGGGGAAATTGACAGGGAGCGATTTATTCCGCATCGGAAAACTCTGCTTTGGTAATAAACTTCCTCAGAATGCAAGTTTGGTTTCTTCCCGAGGATCCTTCACTTTTCTGAACTTTCTGTTGCCTCTGTCTTGCAGAGATTTTGTAACTAAGTCTGGGATAGAAAGCACCGGGATTGGAGCCACAGACAGTCACTTCTTGGCCATGAGATTGTCCGTGAGAACCAGTCTTTTTTTTCGAATCCGTCTCTTTTCCTTTGCAGATGCGATGATCTTACAGGGACGACAGAAGAACTTCGTCCCCCAAACCCTCTCCACGTGTAGCTTTTTTCCCCCCAGAAAGCCAGTTGTGGGCTACATTCAGACTTTCCCTATTTTTACCCCATTCCAGTAAAAATTCCTCTCCAAAGAAATCTGGTCCAGAGATGGAATGAAAGAATGAAAGACATTTTATTTTCTCTCCTCGATGTTGGCAATACTTCACTCCTACGCGTCTAAGGCTGTTTTCATCTCGCAAAGTACTTTGATACTTGTGAACGTGGCTACACGGCTTTAAACAAGAGCGGTGATAACTCATGCTAATTATTCAGCTTGTATATTAACGCTTGACAAGAAAGAAAAGAACTTTTTCTTCCTTGATGATGGTTGTAAAAATTAAGAAACCCAGGAGGTACTGAAAGATCTGTGTTCTTGAGAAGCAAAGAGCCTCCAAGTCATGGAATTCGTGTATCTAAATCACCTGCCACAGCGCTGCTTATCCTTTGGGATGCGCCACCCAGGCGCCCCTAAATCAGACATTCTTACGATCATTTAGCATTCCCACTGCTAGGTCTCACAGAAGCTTGCAGTAGAAACTGCGGAGGCGGCGGGACATCACGTGGACTTTCTTTCAACCTCCACTGGATATTCGGAAGTTCAAATAGAATAAATGCGATGCCCTGGAATGTACATAGAGCATTAATGGAATTGTGTGGCCAACAGAATCAAACAGTGAGGTTCGTTTAGGGAAGGGGAGTACATAACCGTGTCATTTATACTCTATTAAATAATCTATAGGTTGCTCTGATGTGAGTCTGGAATGAGAAGTGTCTACTTCTCTTCAGTTTGTTCTTTGGAATGTAGCTATTTCCTCTGAAGACTGAACAGGAGGTTCTAGAGAAGAAGACAGTAGGAGGAAAGCCATCTGGAAGGGCAGGACAGAGGATCTTTGGGGAAAGCTGTCAAAAACTCTCTGGGGATGGGTTCCCTTGCTGCAAGTCAACAGGGTGGTCATACCCCTCGGTCCCCCACACCCTCACCCGGGACCTTCTTGAGGGGCTGTGAGATCTCTTTTTTTGTGTGAAGGATCTGGACGTCCTGGACAGCCAGGCCCAAGGGAAATTGGGACATCAGATTCGGACCGCTTTCCCTCTCGTCGGCCGTGTTAAACCTCTACTCGGGAAGAAAATAAGCCCCCTGTTGTCTCTCTTCCACCCCCGATGTTTTCTTCAGAAGAAATGACAGCCGATTTAGTGACCAAGCAGCGGGTAAACAGGTGAGGTTGACCTTCTAGTGAATTTGTGCCAAAATTCAGTATATCGCATTCCAGAATTGGCCAAAAAATAATACAAGAGACCAGAAAGAAAAGGAGCAACCCGGAATGCTGTTCCTTAAGTCCCATTCCTCAGAGAAATACAGACAATATGTCATAATACTACAACACAAATACCTGTCAGTAAGTCCGTCCAGCTGCGACAATGCTCCCATGACAGTATTAACAGATGTGTTTGTTGGGCCCTAGCCTGTCCCTTCCTCATTTTGGGGGAATTTCATGGGTCTTTTCTTTTTCTTTCTCTAGAATGATTCCCCTCCTTCAATCGCCCTTGACACCCTTGATATAGCAGCATTAAGGATAGGTCTCGTGACATCCCCCCGCCAAGTCCCAAATGATCATTCTAGTTTTTTTTTTCAGGGCTCTCCTTTCCCAGAATCATTCAACGAAGCACCTTATGAGTAAGCATACAGGCTGACTTGAGGCTCACCGTTTCTTTCTCCCTATTTTATGCGGAAGTAATAAGACAAGCAAAAAATTAGAAGGAGAAAAAGAATAGTAAAAGGAAAAAATCTTTTTTTTTTTTCAAAGTTTATTTATTTTTGGGACAGAGAGAGACAGGGCATGAACGGGGGAGGGGTAGAGAGAGAGGGAGACACAGAATCGGAAGCTAGCTCCAGGCTCTGAGCCATCAGCCCAGAGCCCGACGCGGGGCTCGAACTCCCGGACCGCGAGATCGTGACCTGGCTGAAGTCGGACGCTTAACCGACTGCGCCACCCAGGTGCCCCAAAGGAAAAAATCTTAATAACCACATACCTCGATAACAGTCGTCGATGGGAAAACTGATTCTGAAGGGAAAGAAAAATATCACCTGAATCTTCCGCGTGTTTGGGGGGTGGGGGGGTCCTTTAACTTTCCCAGTGGAGTTAATACCTATCAGGGCCAGTGAGGAGAGTGAGGGCTCCGAGGGCCAGAGCTAAGATTGGAGGCTGAGGGTTTTGTTCGCTTGGTTTTTACCTTCAACACCGAACCCTCTCTTTCCATGCTGCTGCTTCTGAGGTCGGTGGCATATAACCTAAGGCCATGTAATAATCGTGACACCTGTTCATCCTATTTAGAAGGACGCATCTACGCATCTCATCTGCCTATTCTAAAAAGAGCAGACCTGGGGCCCCTGGGTGGCTCAGTCGGTTAAGCATCCCACTTCGGCTCAGGTCATGATACCACGGTCGTGAGTTCGAGCCCGGCGTCAGGCTCTGTGCTGACAGCTCGGAGCCTGGAGCCTGCTTCCGATTCTGTGTCTCCTTCTCTTTCTGACGCTCCCCCGTTCATGCTCTGTCTCTCTCTCTGTCTCAAAAATAAATAAACATTAAAAAAAAAAAAAAGAAAAAAAGCAGACCAGTCCCAAGACAAGGGTCTCTGTGAGTCGAGTTTCGACTATGAAACATACACTCCAAACCCCAAGGGGTTTTGTGAAAAGGCAGATGCTGACTCAGGGGGGTCTGGAATATGGCCTGAAGTTCTGCATTTCCAACCAATTCCCACGTGACGCCAAAGCCGTGGATCCCAGAGCCCTCACCTTCCGCGGCAAGGAGGCTATTAGCAGAGGAAGAAACAGAAGCGTCTGGAAGGAGGCTGAGGATAAGGAGCCCAAGGAACAAGCCCTTAGGAAAAGTAAAACTTGGTTCCCCAAGGGCAATGCCTTCCATGAATTTTGAAGCCATTGGGAGACTATTGTGATGCTCTTTTTTTTTTTTCTCAGCAGGTTTGGGGGTTCCGATCCGTACACAGATCCGCTGAGCCCACAGCTGTTTTGTTTGGACAGGCTGGGGGTGAAGTCTGAGCTTGTGCACAAACGGCTTATCATCAACACGGGTCCTTTCTCTGACAGCTGTTTTCCTTCCCAGCCACAGGGCTCCGGCCAAAGGCCTTGCTGAAGAAGGGCCTGGTAGAATCAGCGAGCGGCGGTGGATGCCTGGCTTCAGGACCTGTGGGAGTGTGTCGTCTGTTTCCCTCTCACAAACACACGCGCACTTACACGCCACATTAACGATCGGGTGCCTGATTTCACTCCTGCGCTTGAATACATACAGAATCAGTAGTTTGATCCATCTACCGGTCTGGCCCACAGAAAGCCGGTGTGCAAGCAGGGACGAAGTTATTTCCTATAAGAAAACAAGGCATTTCTGTAAATTACAACGAGTAATTTTCAAGTCCCCCTACAAAATCTGCTGGGTGCGTCATGTGTCCGCGCCTGAGCCCCCCACGTTATCCCACCGGCATGAGGCTGGACGTGGGAAATCAGTGTTAGGTATGTGAGTGCCGCAGCTCGGAGAACCGGTAAAAATCCGGGTCGCCTTCAAGCTGCGTGAGTTGAGAGGAAGCGGCGCCTTCGGTGACTTCCTTTGGGGAAGGTTTGTTTTGTGCTGGTGAAGTGCTCCCCCTGGTGGACCAGGAGTTGATAGGTTTGTGATCGCGTTCTGCAGGGAGCAAATGTGCTCTGGAGAAAACCCCCCGCAGTTTCAGATACTCCGAGATGTCCTCCAGGAAGGAAAAAAAAAAAAAAAAAAAAAGCTAACTTTTCAGAGCACCAAACCCAAGCTCAAGACCCCGCTGGGCTCTGGCTTGATTTTGAGCACAGCCTTCCTGCAAGGTACAAAAGGCTTCGCCCTCCCACGACTGCTGGCCTGGTCACATGGGCTCCTATTCTTACGGGGAGCCCTGGCCCCTGAGGCTCCGTACAGATTTGAGTCCTGTGTTTGATTGTGTTCGCCTTTAAAAATAATTCTGGACATGTACACAGGGAAGAGGACCCAGAGTGGGGGGGGAGTATTTTGTTGTCAAATCATCCCTTTCTCTTACTTCCCGTCTGCTTAACCTTCCGTCTCCGACGTAGTCGTGTTGATTGTGGTTTATTTATGTCTAGATCTCTGCTCTCCATACCCGCCCTCAACATAAAGGTACGTTTGATCATTTGTCGAGGATCACGTTTCCACCAATATTAACCGATTTCAGTGGCAGCCTAGAGACTTTATGCTGTGGTTTTCCTTAAGGAGACTTTCCGTGCGCCTTGGCGTGCACGGACAAGGACAAATTTTGCAGGTCAGGCAGAGATGAGAATCTTTGGCAACTCTTGCACTCTTTCGAACATTCTGCAGCGGATAGCATTGCAGCCTTAGTCCAAACAGTTTATGAAGCGAAATAAGGAGGTATTTTAAATATTTATTTAACAAGACATATTTTAAATAACCTACATATGTAAATAGAGCGTTCTTAGCCTGTACATTATTGCCAGGTCGATTCTCATGTTCTGATATATAATTAATTACCGGTTTATTCCTCTGTAAACCGAAGCAGGGAATAAATCAGTGATGCCAGGTCACTGATGTCAGCAAAAATTGTAATACCCTCTTGTCAGTGGGTCTGTGAAAGGGGAAGCGAGACTGCGAAATCTACGGCGGCAGGTGCCACGCTGTGTCCAAAGGGCGAGTTTTTACCCCAGTTTTAGTTGCTTCGTCCTGATGTCTAGACTTTTTTCTGCGTGCCCCCTAGGTGGGCCTGGGACGCACATTTTCTAGTTTAACACAAACTCGGAAAGTATAAGCAGTGTGATCTATGCATTTTATAGGGTAGGGTCACCAAACGTAGAGGCACAAGGTGAGCGTTTGGAGCAACACCACTACAGGCAGAAGCAACAACAACACAAATACCAATCATTTTGATTTCTCGTTAGTTGAAAATTTGAATCTTTTTAATGTTTCACCAAAGTCTTATTTTTTTTTAAATTTTTTTAACGTTTATTTATTTTTGAGACAGAGAGAGACAGAGCATGAATGGGGGAGGGTCAGAGAGAGGGAGACACAGAATCCGAAACAGGCTCCAGGCTCTGAGCTGTCAGCACAGAGCCCGACGCGGGGCTCGAACTCACGGAGTGTGAGATCGTGACCTGAGCCGAAGTCGGCCGCTTAACCGACTGAGCCACCCAGGCGCCCCCAAAGTCTTATTTTTAATATATATCTACATATAATATACATGTGTATATTACATATGTATACACATATGTGTGTATACACACATGTGTATGTATACACGCATGTATATTATATGTAGATATGTGTATACACATATGTATATTATATGTATATATATGTATATATATATGTATATTTCCACTTAAATATCTCTCTTCTAAACTTTTCCACTGACAATCTCTAAAGGACAAAAGGGTTGATCGTCAAACTTTTCATGAGTATAAAGAGGTCTCTTTAGGGAATAGAAGTAAACAAAATATGGCATCTTTTCTTTTTAGAATTACTTTCTGACGATGAAGAGTGAATACTCCTCTCAAGGGCCTCAGCAAATTTTTGGTCTGGGTCAGTGACGAGACAAGCATGTTTCGTTTAAACATACTGCGCGTGTGTTCCCAACAACCCAACCCAGGGTCCCGATTTCCAGTGCTGTGAATTAGCTTGCCAGCTTCGTTCTCGCCAGTGGATTAGCAATATTCATTATCTTGGCCCGTGGCCAAAACATCTGGAAACTTTAGTAGGAGCATCATTTAAAATAATTCGTTCGTGCCATTGTGACAAACCAGCCCATTGGTTACCTGACCTTTTCACCATCACCCAGTTGTCTTGCCACATGTTTAAACGTTTTGGATTAAATTTGCATGAGATCTTCTTGCCATTCTGCATTGGGAGGAAACGTGAAATTTTGGTAAAATAAATATCGGCAGCAATAAAAGGGATTGAATTTTGTGGTTGGGATGACCATCACGTGCATTCTTAGATGTGGAGTCCATCACTTCGCTATGGTATTATTTTGGTGCTTAGAATAAGTGTCCTTTCTGTAGGTGACAGGTCCAGGGAGGTGTAAATTCGTCTTAGCAGCTTCTGAATGAGGGGTCCTTATGCAGTTATACAAAGAGGAAAATTAAAGGTTAAAATTTGCTCATCCACCCTCTTCCAGATTCTCTCTAGAGCTTCAGGAGGTGTCTGGAGCAATAATTACTTTGGAGTAAACACAGAAGGGCTCAGGGGATTGTTTTTTTAGAGTTTTAATACATTTTTAGATTTGCCATAACCAGTATATTAGTTTCTAGAAGAAAAGAAAATGTTGATTCAGTGTAAGCCTCCATATCAGTGTGGGAAAAGAACTTTCTCCCAAAGATAGATAGTAGCAATACAATAATCAGATTGTCTTCTCCTGAAATATTATCAAGATCAGTAATTCTATTTTTACCCTGTGTTATTTTGAAAGGTCCTGTGAAAGGTGGGCCACACCTACTTTTTAAACATTTTGTTTTAATTGTTAAAATTTTTTTATTTTATTTATTTTACTCCCCGTGCTATGTGCAGAGAAAACCCTGGGGATTATGTATAACACTGGCATAAGAAGACTCAGAAAGGCGAAGAGAAGAAGGCAGACCGACCAGGAATCTCAAGACCCAAGGAATGACACAATGGTCAGTTTTCTGAGTTTTTGCTTTTTTGTCATATAGATTAGGCCTGGAGTTAAAGAAGCCAACAGCTCAAAGTAAATGAATGAATGAATGAATGAATGAATAATAGAATAGATTAGAATACAATAAAATAGAATATCAACAGCTCAAAAATAGTAATAAACACTGACAAGAGGACACCCAACAAAAGCCTGTTTTCTCTAGCCAAAGGACCAGGAAAAGGACAACCTCACAAGGCGTAAAACATTTGGACAAAAACCACTCTACCCTAGCAAACATCACAAACACCAACTGGCTGATGTCAGAGAAGGCTGAGTAGGGAGCTGGGACTTTCATCCCTGCTACAACAAAGAGCTCTTACCCCTGTGGTGTCGGTGAAGGTCATATACAGAGCAGTAACAGGCATTCCTGCCCCTCCAGTACAGGGAAATATCACTGGAGGTCTACTGGGGAGCTGGAATAGCCCACCCAACAGTAATGAGGAACACTCTCCCTCCCAGATGTCAACAGAAGCCAGTGGAGAAGCTGAATATCTACCCCCATCTGGCAGTAATGAGGAAACACATCACCCTCCTACCAGCGTGGTGTCAGAGGAAGCCAGTTAAAAGAAGCGTTTTAAATAAGATCCAGAGTCTCATAACATGCTACCCAAATGTTCAGGATTCAATCCAAAATCACTCATCACACCAAGAACAAGGAAGAACCCAAATTGAATGAATAAAAGACAATAGATGCATGCTAACATCAAAATAACATAGACGTTAGAATGATCTGACCAAGATTTTAAAGTAGCTATTATAAAAATGTTCCCCTGAGCAATTACAAACATTCTTGAAACTAATGACAAAAATATTAAGCTTCAACAAAGAAATAGGAGCGCAGAGCAAACATGAAAAGATATATAAATGAACCAAATGGAGAAACTTTTGAGCTGAAAAAGACACAAAAACACAAGAACTCAACGTTAGGGGCTCAACAAATAAATGGCGGAGACAGTGGGAAGGATCAGTGAACTGGAAGGTAGGACGATATACTGCCTAAAATGAACAACAGAGAAGGAGTAGACTGAAAGGGAAAATGAACAGAACTTCAAGGACCTGGGGGGACAATTATGAAAGCTCTAACATTTGCATTACCACACTTCTAGAAAGAAAGAAGAGGGCAGGCCTAAAAATGTCCTTTGAGACATAAAGGCTGAAATCTTCCTAAAGACATAAACTTTCAGATTTGAGAAGCTGAGTGAATTCCAGGCAAGATAAACTTGATGAAATTCTTACCAAGACACATCGTAGTCAAACTTCTGAGAACTAAAGACAAAACAAAAATAAAAACAAGCCCTCGAAAGACAGTGGGGGGAAAAAAGACCAAGACAGTCTCAAGCGAAAGAAAACTAAGAAAATGTGTTGCCAGTAGACCTACCCTAAAAGAATGGCTAAAGAAATTGTCTAACCAGAAAGGAAATGACAGAAGGACTTCTGGATCATCAGAAAGGAAGAAAAAAACTCAGTAAGCAAAACTATGAGTAAAGATAATTGTTTTTTCTTTTCTTCTTGATTCTTCTAAATGCCGCTTGAGAGTTGAAGGAAAAATTAATGACTGTCTCATAACGGTTCTAAATGTAAACAGAAGAATTATCTAACAACTGTTTTATAAAAGGGTGACTGTGGAGTCGATCTTTTACACTTCACTCACATGGCTAAAAAGAGTACTAAGGTAGATTGTGATAATTTATCAATATAGAGTGTAATACCTAGAGCAACCCCTGAACAAGTTATGCAACGGGATACATTCAAAACGCATAATAAATAAAAATAGAATTATAAAAATGCCAAGGACTTATAGAAAGCAGAACAAATAACACAAACGAAAAAGAAAACAAAACAAAGATAAGTTGATGTCAGACTTTTTAGTTCTAACAGATCAATGGTTATATTAAATGTAAAAGGTCCAAATATACCAATTAAAACAGATTGACAGAATGGGTTAAAAAAAAACACATAACCCAACTATATGCTGTCTACAAGAAACTCACTTCAAATATAAAGCTATAGATAGGTTGAAATAAAAGGGAGTAAGAAGATATATCATGTAAACATTAGGTGATGTACTGATAAAAGGGTCACTATGCAAGTAAGACTTAGAAATCCTAAATGAGTGTTCACCAAACAACAGAGTTACCAAATATATGCAACATCAACTGATAAAACTTGGAAGACAGATAGATAAATTCACAATTATAATTGGAGAGTTGCATCCCTTTCTTGACAATTGATGGAACACATAGACAGGAAGTCACTGAGGGTATAGAAAAACACCATCAACCAACAGGATCCGATTGACATGTATAGAACGTGTAACAATAGCATAATGCATGTTCTTTCCAAGGGCTCACAGAGCACATACTCAGATAGACCAGGGGTGCCCTGGTGGCTCAGTCGGTTAAATGTCCAATTCTTGATTTGGCTCAGGTCATGATGTCACAGTTGTGAGACTGAGCCTTACATCCAGCTCTGCACTGAGCATGGAACCTGCTTGAGATTCTCTCTCTCCTCTTCCTCTGCCCCTCTCCTGCTCAAGCATGCACTCTTTCTCAAAATAAATAAACATTAAAAAAATACATTTTCTGGCCATAAAACAAACCTCAACTAGTGGTGGGACAGAGTAAAACAGTGATGAGAAAAATATTGTTCGGCAACAACCTATTAAGAGAATTAAAAGACAAGCGACAAGCTACACACTGGACGAAAATTTTGTAAAGCACGTATATCCAACAAATGATTTGCATCTAGAGTATGTAAAGAACCATCACAACTCAACAGTTAAAAATTAGCACAAGAAAAGATGTTTTCCATCATTAGCCATTAGAGAGATCCAAATTAAAACCACAGATATAATCACATTCTACACGTCTGAAGGGCTAAAATAAACAATAGTGAAAATAACAAATGCTGACAAGCATACAGAGAAACTGGATCATTCATAAATTGCTTATGGGAAAGTAAAATGGTACAACAACGCTAGGAAACAGATTGGCATTTTTTAAAACATCTAAACATTCAACTACCTTATGATCCAGCAATCACACTCCTGGGCATGTATATCAGATAAATAAAAATGTGTGTTCACACAAAAACTTGTACATGAATGTTTACGATACCTTTATTTGCAAGAGCCAGGAGCTGGATACAATTCAGATACCCTTCAGTGGGCAAATGGTTAAAGAGACTGGTGCATGCACAATAATAAAAAGGAACTCATTGTTAATACCTATGATAACAACCTGTAGGAATCTCCAGCAAATTATAATTACAGTGAGTGACAGAAATCAATTTCAATGTTTGTAATTTTACATAAAATATACGTTCAATTTTGTTTTTGATATAAAAATATATTCAATTTCAGTAATGTTCTATAAATGGAATTAAACAAATGTTACACAGTGTTTAATTCCATTTATGAAACATTACTGAAATGACAAACTTACAGAAGTGGAGAACAGAGCACGTGTTAAGGAAGACGTAAGCGTGAAGGGAAGTGGATATGGTTACAAAGGGCAATATGAAAGATCCTTATGATGATTGAAATGTTCTGTATCCTGACTATATCAATGTCAATATCCTGTTTTATTATAGTTTACTATTAATTTTCAAGATGGTACCATTGGGGGACATTGGGGAAAGTAGCACTCTGTATCATTTCTCACAATTGCATGTAAATCTAAAACTACCAGAAAACTTTTTAATTAGGGGCGCCTGGGTGGCTCAGGCTGTTAAGCATCTGTCTTCAGCGCAGGGCATGATCTCCTGATCCGTGAGTTTGAGCCCCACATCAGCCTCTGTGCTGACAGCTCAGAGCCTGGATCCTGCCTCAGATTCTGTGTCTCCCTCTCTCTCTGCCCCTCCCCTGCTCGCACTCTGTCTCTGTCTCTCTCTCAAAAAGAAATAAACATTTAAACAGTTTTAATTTTAAAAAATGTCCTGCAAGATGTGTAATCAACAGTTCAGTTACCCTGGGCTTAAAGTAATAAACAAACTAACAAACAAACAAAATAAATGATTAAATAAATAAATAAAAATAATATTTGGCTGTAACACTTTAATCTTCCACAGCCCTGGGCAAATACCTTCAGTCACTATGAGCCTCCTTCTCCATCAGGTAAATGGCCATAATAATACCTGTCTATTTATTTTACTAGCTGTAGTCAGGATAAAATGACCACATAATAATGATTCTAAAAGTGTTTCCTAATTTTTTAAGTCTCACAAGAAAAAGAACTAACGCTTGTTGGTTTGTCGGACACAAACAGTGCCCTGGGCTATAAGCTGAGTTAAATGCATCCCTTAGTTTGTATCTATATGGTAGTATTTTACGTGAAACTTTTAAGAGCCTGGCTCCTATAACTTCATGACAGACTGGGTGGCATTTAGAGCAGCGTCACTAAAGAGAAATTCCTGTCTTTCATCCTGTCTGTCTCACGCGCTCAAGAGTTTCCGAGTCCAGTGTCTGTGCTAACTCTTGGCTCTGATTTCTTCAATATGCTGCAACTCCAGGGACCCTCTGACCCTCCTTTCCTTCAACATGCCAAGCCAAAGCTTCCATCTTGGCCCCTCCCTATCGTTTCCCTTGCTTGGTACACCAGCTTCCTGTTGCTCCTCCCCCCCCCCCCCCCAACCTCCCTGTTTTGCATTTTCCCCTCAGCACTGGCTCCTTTCCATTGAAAAATTAGACTCATCACTCATTCAACAAGGACCTAACACCCGCTAATGGCAAGGCCCTGTGCTGAACCCTAGGGATACGAAGGTGTGTAAAATATAATCTGGAGAGCCACACGCTAGAACAATAATAATGAGAATATGGTTCATGACACAAGAGGCATGAACGTAGCCTGGGAACACAGAGGGGGAGGCACTTCACCGTGGAGCCTTCTGGGTTACCTGGAGGAAGTGGCAAACTCAGATGCCTGCAGCGGCCAGGCATGGGACAAACTCCCACGGTGGGGACTGAGGGAACTGCTCTGACAAAATTGAGGTAACAAATCTGATTTGTGAGCATAATTCGCTCAGGAAACATGCTTGTAATCCAAAGCACTTGCATGTCAAAGCGAATTTCCCCATAAGAAATACTGGAGACTCAGATGATTCGTTCCACAACCCCAAAATATTCATATAAAAATGATTAGAGCACTGTAATAGAATACACCATAATAAAGAAAATACAAAATATAAAGAAAAATTAATTAACCTGCCCTTGCCTTTGAAAACCTTTGTGGCTGGAGTGAGGGAGACAAAAGAGAGAGGAGGGTTATCGCGTAGGACGACTTTCACGATCACTACCTGGATCGCTGCTGTCTGTTGGCTCAAAGGAATCTTTTTCTTTTTGCGCAACGTTAACAGGAACCTATCCAATGACACTTGCTTTTGCCTCCTTTTGAAGATTTCACAGACATGTGACATCGCATTCACAATCACCCACAATCCCGCAGCAAGAGAGAGAGAGAAGAACCATTGGTTCAGTTGTGATCACGTGACATTCGACATCACGTACCATTTGTCTTGCGAGACGTCGTTCATTTCTCCAGGTAAAAGTGACTAGAAATGTTTGCTCGTCTTGTGAAACACTCGAAGAACAAGTTACTCATTCAATCCAAGGATTTACTGTGTATAGAAATGGACCTAGCATTCTAGAAACTGGGAACATTATAAATAATGGTGGCTGTATCCTGTGGGGCCCACCTTCAATGAGCAGCTCACACCTGGCTTATTGCCGTGCCTAATACAAGTCTCCTAGTCCAAGCCTTCCTTATTTCTCCTCGGATCCAGTACAATAACCTCCCATTTAGTCTCCCTGTTTCCACTCCAGCCGCCCACCGTCTTTTCTACATTCAGATATCAGGGGGAGACGGAATGCACACATCAGTGCTGTATTCAACGACTCTCCACGTCACTCAGAGTGAAAGCCAAAGCCCTTAGCTTGGTATGAAGCCACATTTCTTAGCTGAACATTAGCATACTCCAGGGAGCTTCTAAAGTGTCAGCAGCTGGCCCTGAAGCCCTGAAATTCTGCACAATCTAAGGTGGCGCCTAGGCACAGCCACGCCATTTTCTCCCCCCAGCTCGCTTGGTTTTGTCCGAGCATTAGCTTTGCAGACAGACCTTCGCTGACACCCAGACTGGGCATCGCTGCCATGTTCTCTTGCCTCTTTGCTTTTTCTCATGGTGCGCTTCATAATGCACATGTCTACTTACTGGTTCATGTGCTTGCAGCCCCCTACCCCAGCCCCCCCAGAAGACCAGCCTATGAGGGCAGATACTTTTACCTCTTTTGCTTATCAGTCTGCTCCCAGGGCCTGTACAAGTGCCTGGGGAACACAGGAGGCATTAAATAAATAAACTTGAATATAGGTAGAATGGCAATGGTGGGTGGAGGAAGGGGTTTAACACATTCGAGGGACGTGGATGGAGAGTGGCAACAGGGAACAGAAAACGATCCAGAAAACTGGAGGAGGCTTCGTAAAAAGTAAGGAGTCAGCATGTTTTTCCTTAAGAAGATGGTGTACCTTGACCACTTTATTCTATTCTATTCTATTCTATTCTATTCTTAAATGTTTATTTATTTATTTTGAAGAAGAAAGTGAGCATGAGCAGGGGAGGGGCAGAGAGAGAGAGAGAGAGAGAGAATCCCAAGCAG